CTTCGCAATACCCTAACCCTCGGCCACAGTAGAGTTGAGCTTATTGCCTAGTTAAGGACAGAGCTGACAGCTGCAGTAGATTAAGCTAGGGATAGGATCGTCACTTGAAATGAGTTCGAGTTGCGCTCGAACAACATCGGATGTTACATGCGCCTGGTGCAGGTATTTTCAAGTCGTTCATCGCAGACTGGCGCTTCTGCATCCATTTTGCATCGAGCATGCATTGTAAATGGATAATAATTGCATTCAGCATAAAAAGTTCGGATTTGCAAATTGTGTTAGGCAACAAACAGTCAACCAAAAAGAAAGCAAAACTAAATATATTCGCTTGACAACAAAATATACATAAATATAAAATAAAATACAAAAAAAAAAAAAACATATATATATATACATATATACAATAAAAAGCTGATGAAAAATAAAGAAGAAGCGACCTTGTCGCCTTCAAGAGTTTACAACTATATTTAAGGCAGCTGTTGCAAATAAAGGTTGAAAATGTCTAAATTAAAGTATTTTTGATTACACACAAACACACATACACAATAACACTGCCACAAAACGCGCACAGAGAGAGAGAGTGAGACACAATAAGCGACCGCCAAAACAATTTTGCCTGTCATGTCCTTGGCATAGATTTGTGGAGCAGCTCGTCGCTTGAGCTGATTGCTCCCTTAGCAAGCACCTGGCAGAACATGACAGCTCCGCTTCAGTCAGCCGCCGACTGAGTGGCAGCCCGGCAGAGTCGGAAAACAAAAAACGAGTCGACTGTTACAGGATGTTCGGCATATCTGCAGGCGCTGCAGGCCTCGACGGCGTTTGATGCGACCCGCTCTTGGTGCCTTGGCATCTGGCCCACCTGGCACACACAGCCAGAGCAGACATTGATGTGGCGCTGATTGGAATTGTGATTGTTATGGCTGGCATTTGTGTGAAGCAGCGTGTGGTGTGAGCCGACTCTTTTAAAGGTTTTGTCAACACGAGAACTCAATTATCGCAGCTCTGCAATGGATGCGGCCTGTTGGACCAGTCAGTCCCCAGCTGCCGATGCTCACCAGGCTAAACCGACTGTTATGGCCTCCCTTTGTGCTGCAGCTAGCCGGCATTTAGTCGGGGCATTAATATCTCAGCAGCTATGCTCCGGCTAAGCGGGCCTTTGTGTATGCTAAATGCTTCAAGATCAGGCCAGTGAAATCCTCGTCCCGTTTGTCCATCAGCTTTGCAGACAAGCGCGGCCTGTCACCGAGGGGCATGCGAGCAGCTGGTCAGCGAATCGCCCACAAAACCAACTCCAGTTCGCGCTCGCAATGAGGACATTTCGATTTACGAACTTACGCGAAAATCCCTGGGTTTATCTGGCATTAGTTTGTTCTCTCTCTCCCTCTCTCTCTCTCTCTCTCTTTCTCTCTCCCTCTTGCTCGCTGGGACTTAACAAATAATTCGTGCATCTGCGTTCGGAACATTCCCAAAATGTGAAACGTGAACCACAAAAGTTAAATGAGAAAATCTGGCCCCGAAAATTATGTATTTATAAATTATGTATAGTAGCATATTATTATTTATTAACTGAAATAAAAGTCTGGATAATAATGGATTGTTTCGTTAATTTTTTTATTTTTTATTTTGATGCCATATTTTGTGTATTTCGCTGGGCTGCATTGCCAATTGTTACGCTTAATCCAGTTAAGCAAATTAATATTATATACTATATATAATGTGTTTTCATTCCGAATTTGTTTAAGCTTATTGGAAATGTAAAAAATATAGTACACAAACTCTGTAAATTGGAAGAAAATATAACAAATTTTATTTTATTTTAATGAAATAAAAAAAAAAAATAAATAAAATTAAATATAATAATTATAAAACCTTAAATGTGTTTTATAATTACATAAATATTCAAGGTATAATTTATTTAAAATATAATAGTTCTGAAAGAAGAATAAACGAAATTTAAATTAGTCTTTACCTTTTTAAGATGGATTCATAAAGTGATTCACCGCATCAAAAATACATACCTTGGTAACATATATTATATCATATAATATCATATCCTATATCCTATGTAAAATGTAATACATTTAGCTTCTAGCCTCATTTCACATCAATTTTTCATTTAGCTCACATCAGTCTACACTCACATCTTTTATCATTATCATTATCATTATTAATTTTAGTCATTAAGGAGGTTTTCATGTTTCTCATCGAAATGAAATCCAACACTAAACAGTAAAAACTAACTCGCTTTCGTGTCAATTCTTGTTTGCTTGCGGTTCTATTGAGCTTGTTGTTTATTTTCAGCTCACACTCACTTCTGGCTGTAATCAACCATATATTTCTATATTTACTGAATAGTATCCTGCATCCAATAGCCATTGTGTACTGTTACTTAATTGCTTCTGAAGTATTTGTATTAATGCTTTTGGATAACCCATTGAGCTGGCACCGAGCTAAAAAGTTGTGTCTGAAAGCAAAATACGCAATGCAATTTAGCAAACTGGTACTAAATGGTATGAACTGCAGTTGGAAAGTTCGCTGGGCGAGTTGGCCTCCAGTTACATTGACTCCGTCGCTGGGAATGTGCGGCCAAGTGTTTTAATCTCGAGAGCAAGCCAAGCTGCAAGCAAGCCATTCAAGTGAAGCTGCGCCGGCCAAGTTGCCGTGTAAATTAATGAAGGCCGACTAAGCTGACCGAGCGCCTTTGTGCTGTTTCGATTACTTGCCGCCGGCCGGGGCAGGAGGTGGGCGGGGCTGGGAATGGCTGCACTTGGGAGTCAAGTTAATGGGAGCAAGTGCTAAAGTTTCTGCAAGTCCAGCGGCGCGGCAGCTTAAAAGGATTTTCGGTGTATTAATATCACTTAGCCAGCTGACTGCTCGACATCAATTGGAAGTTTGATGTTGCTCTGAAACGGGTTAATTGTAATTGATTTGCAATCTTTTGTTTTTAAATTCAGTTTATTAAGTATTCATTTATATTATTAACACACTCAGTAGTTTCGGCTTAATTGTAAAATATTTTTACCATTCACCATTTAATTTAAGTTTGTATTTTCTGTAGAACTAACCTCGTCTTAAAAATAATCAGTTTAGTTTTGCAATATCTTCAGAGAAAGACAGAGAGAGCTTAGGGTAGGTAGGTGAGAGCGAGCCATAAGAGACAGTCGCCGAATTGTCGCATTGTAAGTGCAAGTGCTTGGATTCCCTCTGAGTGCACTCGACTTGCCACGCCTCGACTCCTGCTCTCGTCTCGCTTCACTTTTGATCTATGTGGTATAATTTTAATTCGTTTTATTACGCATACGCAGTGTATATTTTGCTAGGCTGCTATTTGGTTTTGCATATTTGATATTCACATTCACATCCACATTCAAACACATAGATATATGTATGTATGTCTGTCTGTTCGCATGAATTCTGCTGTATTTAAATTTTATGTATTTTTAGTCGATTACTTTGGTTATTTATAACATTTACATACAATGAATTAATTTGTATTATTGTAGCCGTTGCTATTTATCTGCCAACGGTAGTTGTTGCTAAATTTTGCTCCTGTTGCTCGTATTGTTGCTGTTGTTGTTGTTGTTGTTGTTGATGTTGCTGTTGCTGTTATTATTTGAGTTAAATTTGTGGCTGCGTTGGCTTGTAAGTCTGTAATTTATTTAACATTTATTCATTATGCACTCGAAGTTTTCGCTCACTTTATTTTCGGCCTTTGTTATGGTAATAGAATATTCATGAATGTACATAAATACATTCATATATATATATTTATATACATAGTTATATAGTTAACAGCAGCCCCTATTTATAGAAAGCTCGTGCCACTGTACAATAAATTCAGCCGGTTTGACATTCCCATTGAGGCCTCTCAGGAATCGAGTTTGAAAGAATTTCCCTGCTCTGCTGCCGGGCTAACTGACTGACGTTTAACAATTCTGATATTGATTCTGTTGCTATAAATTCATGTTCTGGCTCTCGAAACACGAGTGCATAACGTCCATGAGTGGCTAATAAATTCAAAGTGTTTGCAAATGTGAGCAACTCTGGGCTCTCGAGATCGGCTACTCGAATATTTCCCTATAAACATTTCGTTTCGACCTTAGCATACGTTGAGTACTTTACTTAGTTACATTGCTAGCTGCTTACTTAATTTTGATGAGATTTGATTTAGCGTTTGGCTCTCGTCTGCTTCTCGTTCTGCTCCTCCTTCGAGTTTAATTACAATTTGAATACTTGAATTACACACAGACACACAGTTGGCCCAAGCGACTCGGCCTGGCCTTAAAACTAGTTTAATAACTGATTTATTTATTACAATTACATTTAGAATTTAACAGTTAAATGCGATTTGATTCATGATTCTCCTTATCTATGTACAGTTGTTGCCACCTACTGAACTCGCTCGCTATTCTAGTATTTATCTTTGTATAAAAATGTGAGTGTGTGTGTGTGTGTATGTGTTTGAGTATTTAATAATATTTACAATATTCAAGTTTTGATTTCAGTTACAACATTGCAATGTATTTATAGAGTGGCAAAGCCGATTTGGTTTCCTTTTGTTTTCTGTTTTTTTTTTTTTTTTAATTCTTATTTCTTTTTATTTTGGTTTTTATTTGTGTTTGATTTTTGCTTTTGCATTTTGTCCGACACTTATACAAAATGAAGGGCTTATCCCATGTGTATGATAGACAGACACACACATGTAAATATAGATTTATAATTAAGCATGCGTGTGCTTTTACCTTTGACATTAATATATTTAAATTTAGGCTAAAAATTTACAGCTAGGTAAAATGAGATGGCCATCAATAATATTTTGGCTAATGTACGACGTCGCGACGTCTCGTTTATCTTCGCGCGGTGCAGCATGAGACGGACTGGGCGTTTGGGGCTATGGGCGTGGCTATGTAGTATGCGCTGCGGTTAGGTATTATTACATTTTACAATTACTTCAGCGTGGGATCCAGAGTCGTAAATTCCAATTCGCCTCGCGGCAATATCAGATCTGGGTCTGCAATATACACTTTGGTTGGTTGGCATAAAACAAAATCAACAGCAATGGCAATGGCGAATGGGTGTGTGCGTGTATGTGTGAGTGTGATAAAATTATAAATGAATAATGCGCAAGTGTTAGTGTGAGTGAGAGAGAGAGAGAGAGAGAGAGAGAGAGAGAGAGTCAAATGGTTGCGAGTGAAAAGAGAAACAAAAGTACAAATTGTGTTTACCGATTAGTTTAGCTTGTTTCATTGTCTCTTGTATTATTATTAAAATTATTATTATTATTATTGCTTGGTTTTATTTTCAGTTTGGCTGAAATTTACAGCACTTGCAAAATGACATCATTTAACAGTTGCAAATTGTTTTGGCAGCAAATGAAAAATATATAAAAAGAACAAAGATATCGTAACTATTAGCAAATATCAAAAGCGTGACCAACTGTGCGCCGATAAGAGCAACAACCAAGCAAAAAAGCAAAACAAAAACAATAACAACAACGACAACAACAGCAACAACAACGACAACAGCAGGACTAGCATCAGCGGCAGGAGCAGCAGGAGCAGCGGCATATAAATATTAATATTCCCCCAAACATCGGCACTGAGACCAGCTGGCTCGTAAATATAAAATAATTCAACAATTTCTTAATTTTTATCGCACATTTATGTCCGATTTCATTTTATTGTGCTGCCCGCCCATGCCGCCTGCACATTAAGTTAGTTTGAGTTCGAGTTTGAGTTTGAGTTTGAGTTTGGGTCAAGTGAAACTGAAGCGCCATCTAGCGCTGACTGCCGACAACGTTGTTTACGATTTTGCAGTTTGTTATTTGAGGCTCGCAGTGTCACAGCGCCCTGTGTTATATTTTATTATTATCGCCTTTTATGTCACATTTGTGCGGCGTCTTTGAGTCATAAAGACGCACAAACTAAAGCAGCACTCAAATGGCGTCACACTTTGTATATATGTGTATGTGTATGCGTGTGTGTGTGTGTTGGTGTGTGTGCGTGTCTGTGGCCTTTCACGTTTACTTTCACGCCATGCCTGGCAGCATTAAAAATGTCAAAAGTTGCAAAAATGTTGCCAGCCCTGGGTCTCAAAGGCAAATAGAGCAAGCGGAGCGGAAGTGCGGCGACAAATGAATGAGCGTTGACATTGAAGTGGCGGCGCAGAGTAACCCTGTGTGGGTGTGCGTGCGAGTGTGTGTGTGTGCGTGTGCCAGCGTAGGCCGCATCAACAATGTTGCCAAAGCAAATTGTGTGGCAGTTCGTGTGGCTGGCCCACAGACATCAAAGTTGATGCCCAAACGCCCAAGGCATCCAAAGCAGCCATCGCTGCTTTTTACAGCATGCTTTAAGGCGCCTTAAAGCGAGCAGCGACAAATGATGACTCTTAGTCGTCTTGAGCAAGCATCCATTTCGCTGGCTGCCACTGCGGGCCCAGACTCAACATTGTCTAATTAGACGAGTGCCAGTGAAGTGTACAAGAACTCAAAAACAAGCCAGCCCCCACACACACACACACATGTATATATATATACTCAAATATGCCTCTCAATCTTGCTCCCTCTGTCTATCAGTCTGACTTTGTGTGTATGCGTGTGTGTGTGTGTGTGTGTGTGTGTGTGGCAGCTGGCGCAGAAAGCAAAGGCTCAAGGACAGCTACACAAATGCTACCCAGTTGGCGGAGCGACTCATGACAAACAAAACAAAGGTCCACACAGCGACAGAAGCTACAACAACAACAACAACAACGAGCGTAAGACAAAAAGTCGAGCAAAATGAATGTTGCAGCATGAAACGAAACAAATGTGCAAAAAAAAAAAAAAAAGAAAAAATAAAAACATACGCAAAAACAAACACTTAAGTGTAAGTATGTATATAAATACATATACTATATACACTATACCCCATCAACACACACACACACACACGTACACACTGATACAGCTGTGTATGTCAGCTGAAAAAGTCAAACGTATTTGCCTGAGCTCGAAGTTCGCTGTAAATGAAAAAAACACACGCTTAACTCACACAAGCAGCAGGAGTAGCAGCAGAGGCAGCAGAGGCAACAGCAGCAGCAGCAGCAGCAGCAACAGTCTCCGCAGCAGCACCAGCAGAGGCAGCAGCATCTCAGCTGGCCCACCTTTCATTCAATTTGCGACGTGGGCGCCACCTAGCGGGACCGTATGCAATTAAAAATGTTGGCTAATGACAACAGCAGCAGTCGCTGAATGCTGACAGCCATGGGGGCTGTGTACCACACACACACACACACACACGCACAGATAAGAGTAGCTCACTTCTTTCACTTGAATTAGTGCGCTCTAAGTGCTATCTTTGAGTCTGAGTCTCAGTCATGCACTATGCGCCCTCGGAGTACATAAGTGCATAGAAGAAGTTTGGCAGAAATGCGAGCGGGCTGACACGTAAAGGCAGGCTAAAAGCTCGTATAACGAAAAGCCTCTTGGAATTACAGGTAACAGGTAAGAGAGGGCAGCACTGGTAAAAAGATCACCGAGAAGTTAATATCAATAGCCTTAAGTTTAGAGGCAACATTTCAACAGAAATATAACCAAAAATCCCAAATGAATATATCGGTGAGTAAGATCACTTTCATCCAATCAGATATTCTTTTTGTCTTATTTTTTACATATGTTTGATATCATCTCTTTGCTGTCGTCTCTTTCATTTTATGTCAACCTTTTTCATGTGCCCACAAACTGCCAATCTAAAGCCATTGAAAGCGGAATTAAAAATGCTTTGAGTTTTTAATTGCGTCATACGCAGTATTTTTTTTTTTTTTAGCTTTAGGGTATTTTTAACATGACCCAACTTTAAACAGTTTCAGTATTTTTTTGCATTTTTATACCCTGAACCCATTGAAAATGGGAAATCAGGGTATAATGGTTTTGTGAAAAGTATGTAACAGGCAGAAGGAATCATCGCAGACCCCATAAAGTATATATATTCTTGATCAGGACGACGAGCTGAGTCGATATAGCCCTGTCCGTCTGTCCGTCCGTCCGTCCGTCCGTCCGTCCGTCCGTCCGTATGAGCAAAAGGATCTCAGAAGTTATAAGAGCTAGAGAGCTGAAATTTGGCATGCATACTCGTGTATACCATAGGCAGTACGAGTTTGCTTTATTTTTTCGATAACTCATCCGATAACTTTTTTATCGAGAATAATCGAAAAATCGACATTGTTTTTTCAGCCTAATTTAAACACTTTTCAGCCAGGAGACTTCAAATTTGCGTTGTATATAGAGTTAATAGACACAAAGATTTTGCAATTTACAGATTTTGGATACCACGTCCCCTTCGCCCCCTTGTGCTTTGGAATGTACACACATTTCAACTATATGAACACATTCTGAAAGTCTCATAAAGATACTCTTACTACAAGAGAAATTATTCAACTAATAAATTCTCATAATATTGCCCACACTACAGTGCAGCCCAAGCGCAGCCGCTGCTTACTGCGCAGTTAGCAGAGCGCGTGCTTATAAGTGCATGTGTATGTATGTGTGCATAGAAGAAGTGCAGAATGATTAGAATATCAGCTTGGAGGGTTCAGGGTATCTCCCAGTCGAGCAGTCTCGACTGGAGCCTTCTTACTTGTTTTTTTTTGTTTTTGCCCAGGTTTTGCACACTTCAGCCTGACTTTGGCACTTGTTAGTGTCTTGTAAGCAGGAACAAGTCAACTTGTTTTATGTCTGCGTCAGAGTGCGACGCGGGGGCGAGGGTGACGGGCTGTACAAATACGCTTGCAGCAGCGTTACGGGCGCTACGCTTGACAGTCAAATGTGAGAGGCCGCGTGGCATGTCGCAGCTGGCTGCCTGGGGCGCCTATAAATTAAAAGTTGTCGGGCCTGCGAACCATCAAAATTCATGAAAAGCGAACATAATAAAGAGAAAGCTGAAAAAGCAGCAAATTAAATCGTTGACAAAATCAAATGTAGCTAATTTGTGAGTTTTGCACGAGCCAGGAGAACAGCGCCAAAGGGCGGCCGGATTAAATTAAAAATAATATCACGTATACGTCACATCTGCCCATTAAATAATATTTGCATTTGCCGTGTTGACATACTGCCATGTTATGTGTATGCGTGTGTGTGTGTGTGCGTGTGTGTGTGTGTGTGTGCATACACGCGCATTTGTGCCTTTTAATTTAGTGCTTTTGCAATACATAATTGAAATTTATGCAATTCAAAAGTAAAAACAAAGTATACTAGAGCTCGCAAAATATACAGAACGAGCAACAAATTCTGCTGCACTCTCCGAGCGTGCAATATACGAGCACTAGATATGAGCAAGTATTTGCATATAACTTTGCAAGTTGTCTATGTATCTCTGTCTGTGTGTGTGAGTGTGCTCGTATTGCTGCAACATGTCCAAAGGGCTTTGTCGACGCACACACGCACTCACAGAGCTACCAATACACAGCGACTACATAGCTGCGTCGATAAAGCACAGGCACAGTGGAAAGGAGCACTAAAAAAATGGCAAAAATAGGAAACAGTCGCTTCGTATTCCAGTTTTAACAAAATCTTACATCTTGTTACATAAAAAGAATATATAAAATATAAATATATATAAATGAAGCTCTCAGCTTTCTCTCGCATCAACTCCTAGGACTTGAGTGTAGCTCTTGAATATTTTGTAAAGCATTTTTAGAAACTGAATCTGTATTAATATGATATGTACATTTAAGCCCTTATTAGCTGTGAGCACAATAATGCCAAACATTTCGATATTCGATTACTGGCATGCTGCCAGCATTGTCCTTGGCGAGCGAAATCTACTCAAAGAAGAGCTAATCGGCTCTACAGTTAGTCCTGCAGTTGCCTGCTGCGTTTGCCCTTTTTAGAAACAATATTTAAGACGCAAGTGCGCCATTGTCCTGTCACTTGTTGTGTGGCTGATTCCTTTATTCCTGTTGTTGTCATTTGCATTGGCCTCCGACCAGCTATGAGATGACTTGACTCTCGAAAGCCATTCTGGGCGAGCTCTTCTCTTGCATTTTGCCTATTGCCTTTGCCCAAGCCTTAACTGCTGGTAAAGTATCTATTATAGAGCCTGGTTACCGTTGAGCAGGAGCATTGAACTGCAATCACGTTTAACCAGAGTAAAGGGCTAAAAGACTCTTCATTTCTGAGTCGTAACTGCTGCAGCAATTACGACTCCTTCTGGGCAGCAGGAATACCAACACCCATTGCCAAAATTCCCTCAATTAAAAGAAATTTGTGGCTTTGTAGCACAATTTACACAATAAAGAGAAAATGTCAGGGACAGAGTCATCCACAAAAGACACAGACGAATTGAAAACATGACACCACAAGAGCTGCAACACGACTGCCAAATACCCTGTAATGAGTGCGAATTAAAATTCGATTGCAAAATAAGTCGTTTCAAGTGCTCTGAATGATTTAATTTTGAGTGATGTAATAATTCAATCTATGCTGAGCTGTTTATGAATTTTATTCATATGATTCGAATCCCCCTTTCTCTACAGTGAATAGAGTATGCAAAAGTGAAGTTGTAGTGGAATTGAGTGTGAAGTGTGACAAAAAGATTGTGAAATCAAGTAGTTTTTGTGCTTTCATTTGAATTCTGATACTCAAAAGTGTATTTGAGAAGACTTTTGCTCGACTTAAGTCTTGATGAATCGTCGTGTGCAGATGGTGCAGAGTGGAGCACCGCATGACTAAGACCCAGCTAAAGCTCAATCTGTTGCTCCTGTTGCAGTTATTAAGTGTGTGTGTGTGTGTCGGTGTCTGTGTGTTGTAAAATCGTTTTTGTTTCTCTGCAATGGTTCTTGCCTTTCAGGTTTTGTGCACAGATTTTGTTGTATTAAATTCAGTTTGCATACATTCAGGCGGCCAGGCGGCTGCATCGGCAGCCGTTGCACATAGCTTTGCGGCAGTCGGTTGGGGCATGGCCACGACCACGTCCGACATTGTGGCCGAGTGGGTGAGCGGGGCAACGGCTCGGTGGTAGCGGCTAGTCGGCTGGCTGGCAGTAACAAGCAAAGGTAGCAGCACGTCGCCTAGGATGGGTTAGCGGTAACAGTGTTTGAATGCATCGTTAGTGGTGACACAGTTAACGGGGAAGTGGGGGTTGTTGGGGGCTGTAGCAGTACAATAGTAAAAGGTTGGTGAAAATTGCAATTTTACGAAAGAATCTGTGTGCACTACATTGCTTTAAGTATTACTCAAGGTATTTAAACCCTCAACTCTAAAACTCAACTATGTTATTTGGTGATGAGCTAAAAACAGCCAACAGGAGAGGTACATAGTAAAGGAGAGAGAGAGAGAGAGAGAGAGACAGAGGGAGAGTGAAAGTGAGAGCAAAAGGGGGTAGAGTTAGTTTGAATGCACTTCTCTGCAGAGCGAAAATTTGAAGAGAGCTATTTCTAAATACAGTCGGGGCCCCACACCAGCTACAATGCAAGTACATACTGCAAGTGCTGCTCTACAGAGTTAAACATGTTAAATGATTCACTTCAAATGAGAACGTTAAATGGCTGCGATGTGCACTAATTAAAAGATATATTATATTATAAGCTACTTAGCGAATCGAAAAATGCCCAATTAGATCATTTTCAAAATATATATTATAAATGATTTGCAACATATTATAATTGAACTGCATATGAATGAATTGGTGAGTGCATGTGTGTGTGTGTGTGTGTGTGTGCAATATGGAAGTGGAATAAGTGCGCAATATTAACCACAAATAACATACACAAACGCGGCGTCCATTTCAGTCAATTAACAACTAATTAAATCTAAACTCACATGCACTTGAAGCTATTTGAAATTAATTTGGTAAAATATGGGAAAATAAAATCGTATCGCGTGATAGATGGACTCATTGATGAACCGAATCATCAGTCGCATTGGCATTTTATTAATTCGATTTCTCATCCATTGCTGATATTTGGCTAATAAACATAAACATAGGTCATAGTGTTACTCGATAAAATTACATATTAATACGTATTCGCATTGGCAATGCGAGTGCATGAATATCTAAAAAGTATTTACAGTATTCAGTATTCAGAGTTCGAAACAGTTTAATTCAATTGCAGCAATCAATCAATTAAAGCTATGCATAGAACTAATTTACGGAGTGCGATTCCAAACAGAACTCAAGAGGTAAAGAGCAAACCAAGTGGATGCAAAAGAGCGCTAATTACGAGATACATAGATTAAATCATAATTGTAGAAGGAGTCGGACTAGATTACTAGATTACTGCTATGGCTACTGGCTACAGTTTGTTGAGTATAGATTTTGGAATAGTACCGTTTAGACTGGGCTGCGCGTACTGGATGAAGCTCTCGGAGATGTAGTGGTGTGGCCCGCCGACGCCCACGATTCCGCCGCCGACGCCGCTGCCGCCACTGGGGGCGCTCATGGCTCCAGCACCGTGGCACAGGTGCGAGCTGGCAGGTGTGATGCGGGCGCGTATCTCTGCTGCCCGACCGCCGCCCTCCTCCAGCTCGTTCAGCTCGTCCTCCTCAATGTACATGGAGGGCACATCGTTGCGCGCCGGCCTGTGGGGAAAAGAGAAAAGAAAAACAAGTTGCAGAAATCTATTAATACACTTTTTACAAACACATTTGCCCAGAGAGCTATGCCCGACAACAACTTTCGAATAGCTCCCAGGACGACGCGTCGTCCACTTGTTTTCGGTGCACTGCGACAAGTTTGTTTCAAACCGAAGCAGCTCAACCTAAGCGACAGGTCAACAAAAACAACAACAAAAACAACAACAACAACTACCTAGGGGCAGGTCACATGGGATCAAATGCTGTTACTTTTCCAGCCGTGTCATATTTTCACGTTGCACGTGGCGTATACGCAATATCGCATTGGCTGATTACGCGCAATTTGCTGGACCCAATTTCAATCTGGTTTTCTCCTTGATTAGCCCTAACTCATTTTGCACCACGCTTGGCGCATGTGATAATTAAATCCGACGACCGCTTATCAGTTGAAACTGGATGCGCACACCATCAAGCTGCAGACGCGCGGGTGTGAGAGTGTGCGTCTGAGTGTGAGAGTGTGAGTATGCGGCGATGTGTCTAAATATTTGCACTATGACTTGACACAAGAGACAAATCGCTAAAATTTATGCTGTAGCGCACATGAGAGCTATGTTTGGGGGGTCAAGGGTTAATACACCTGCACCTAGTGAAAGGGTCGAAGGGTCAATACACCTGCACGCATAGCTTGCAAATTACTGTTACTTGCTTGATTCTATACGCTTTGCTCGCGTAACAAATAGAAGAATCAGATTCTGTCGCTCTCGCTCTTTTTGCTTCATCCAGTTCAAGAACGAACTGGAAGGAACGAGAATGAAAAGACTCAATTGGTTGCTCTCTGAGCTTTTGCTCGAAATCTCAGTAAAAATTATTTTTTGCAGATATCGAGCACCGGTCCGCAGTTATTTGCGAGCTATGTCTATATGTCATTGAAGCTGTAAACCATTTGATCTATTCATGTACAGTAGTCACTCTGATATAAAGGAAATGAGAGTCTGCTATTATATTCTATTATTCCGACTCACTATTTGAGTATGTAAAGCGTGTATTAAATGACCCGCATGCGGTGCGCTTTTATGTGATAAAGCAAAGAGAGAGAGAGGCAGAGACACATAGAGAGAGAGAGAGACAGAAAGAGGGAGAGAGAGAGAGAGAGTGAAAGAGAGAGAGGCCAATCAAGTTTTTGAAAGTTTCATAATTAATAATCTCTCTCGACTCTGCTTTGATTCTATTGCCTGTACCCAAGACTCGGGTGGCACGTCTTACGGTGGTGCTCGCTCAATAATCAGGCACCTGATACGATTAAGTGACAGTACAAATATGGCACGATGGCCAATAGCCGGATGAGGCCAAAAAGTATTCTCGGCTAACTGAACGGGTGCTCGGCTTAGGCGTGGCACACCCACTCACCCACCCAGTTTGAGTGGCAATGAGAGTTTGTCTTTCATTAGAAGAGACACAGTCTCACAGACCTGGGCCGCAGCTGACAGTTGACAGAGTTTGTGAGAGAGAGAGAGAGAGAGACCGAGGGCAGGCAGGTTAAGCAGCTGCTTAATTATCTTCTCTCTGCCGTGCGACCCTTTCAAAGTTAACGCTGATTTCTTATCTTAAATGAAACTTAGTTGATGGTGCGACAGTGTCAGGGCTGGCGGCTTCCTCTTCCGGACAGGACACCGACGCACACACACACAGACACAGAGAAACTGGTGTGGGCTAGTGTCGTTCAATTCGATTCTTTTCTCTTGGTCTTTTGTGGTCCGTAGTCAGGTGCAGGTTTAATTAATTTAATTACAGTCTAAGCATAATTTAGTGGGCAGCTGCGTGCTCTTTGTTTAGCCCGGCCCGACGAATGGCTTCGGGTCTATGGCTGCGGGCTAATCGATTCAGCCATTGCCGTGCGAAATGTTTAATGAGCCTGATGCGAAGCCCCTGCCAATTGTGCCCATGGCCGTTGGCCCGGACCGAGTTTAAAGACTCAAGACTTGAACCCGTGGCAGCTGTGCAGCTTAATATGCACTCGTCTCTTGCAATTGACGTGATTCTTAATTGTGTGTAATCAGCAAAGGGGGCCAGTGAAATATGTTGCAATTATTTATGCAGCGCATACTCCCATTTCAGCACCTACTTCTGCTGCAGCCCACGTGCGCCACATAAATAATGCTGTAATTATTTTCGCACACATAGCCGCAACAGCAGAACAAACAATTTTATTATTAGTTTTTCCATGCGCTCAGCTCATGCAGTAGCTAAGAAGTCGACCGTGAGATAGCCTGTTCGCTCTCGAGATATAAGCAAGCCTTTTCCTCTTATTCATTTTCCTATACAAACAAGATTTGCCTTATTTAGGTACAGGGTAGGGCTTGAATAACAATAATTGATCAAAAAGTAATCGACTCGGAGATATCCTGTTCTTTCGCGAGAGAGATATCCTATTCTTTCTCGAGATACAAACAAACCTTTGTCGCTTTAGCTACAGGGTATGCTGACTTGAATAACAATAATTGAATTGTATTATTAGTTTCTCTCTAGGCTCTTCCCAAAACACAAGAGGACTTGACTATGAAATATCCTATTCTCTCTCACGACAGACCTTGCTCTTTTTAGCTACAGGGTATGCTGACTTCCATAACAATAGTTGAACCTACTTGATAACTGTATTATCAGTTTATCTCTGGGCTCACCCCAAAACACAGACTGGCTCGACTATGAGGTATCCTGTGCTTGCTCTTCTTAGCTACAGGGTATGCTGACTTCCATAACAATACTTGAACCTCATTTATTATTTGATGCACTCTTCGTCTGAGCCATTCCCCCTTTATAGTTCGGCTTTTTACAGGGTATTCGTGGTTAACTTACCGCATGCTCTTGCGCACCTCCTGCGGCTCAGGTGGCCGCGGCCGATGCCGGCAGACAACTACAATGCCGGCCACGATAATTGACGTCACAATGACGGCGCCTATCGCCACGACTGCGGCTAGTATGAGCAGCGTCGACTCCTTCTCTGGGCCGTTGCCGATGCTGGCGCCGGCGCCGACGCCGCTTGGGCCGCCGCCGCTGCTGCCGCTGCCGCCCACATGATGCGTGGTTTCCGCGGGCGTCGGATCCTCCGAGAGTATAGATTCATCTGCAAGTGAGATAAAACACAGCATAAAGTGGACGCAGGTTAGACATCAAATAGTTTTTGCTGGGCCAACCCAGGCCCAGGCATCCGCTGGGCCGGGGTGAACAATGATTTGTTATTTGCTCGAAATTAGTATGATGCTGTGGGAGCGAGACCATGGAGCAGTCTTTGGCACAGCTCCCCATTTTCATTTTCGCTTTCTTTTATTTTCTCGTTTCATTGCTATTTATTTGTTTGTTTTGTTTTATTTTGGCATCGCGTGTGTGTGTGTGTGTGTGTGTGCCTTTTGCTAAACTGATTGCTTTAACTGTTTCTACTTTCCTATATTTGTATTTCTTATTGGGGATGTTTTTGTTTTCTTTGCATTAAGTCGTTCCGCTATCGCTTTTGCTTTTGCTTTCGCTTTCGATTTCGCTTTCGTTCACGTTGCCATAGCAAATTGTGTTGAAAATTGAAATTAGCCCAATTGACCTGGCCCTGTGTGAGGGTCGAGTAGCTACTCGATGGAGCTTTAATTGCTCTCCGCTGCCAAGGGCAACGAAATCATGACGTTGATTGCTCCAGATTGCAAAAGCTTTGCCAATTATTAGCAACATGCGACGGGGCATTGTTTATGTTTATTAGATTTTTAGAGACGGAAATTGCAGGAGCCAACTCTTTGTAAGATGATCCCCAGGCAAGATTTATGCGATTCATTCGTCTTGTCTGCCTGCCCACCTGCCCAGGTGCCCAGGTGGCCAGATGCCCCCCCAGCTGGAGTAAGAGCCGCCGCCTTCACCTCTATCTGCTATGCAACATTTCCGCTCCATTTGCGGGCTTCGAATTGAAGCACTGCCAAGTGGTTGGCCTGCTGCTGGCTTCGGTGGCTCTGGTGGCTGTGGCGGCTCCAGTGGCTCTCGTCTGGCTTTTAAGGCGAGCATTTAGGTGGAAATTGCCTACACCTGCGGCTCAATTGAATTTCGGTTGTTGTGTGGCTGCCATTGATGTTGTTGGCCTTTGCCAACGCTTCTCTTAACAATATTCTTGGCCAATTTCAAGCTTTTTCTTGTACTCTGCAAATGCAGAGAATGTAAGCACAGGTCGCTCGTTTATAGACTCTATAAACATTTCAGCTTGAGCTATGCTATGCTTAAGAGAATAATTTGTAATTTAACCTTAGAAAAAAAAAAAAAAAAAAGAAAAACATATTGTATATTCTAATCTTTTTCAATGGGTATCTAGTGCGTTTGCATATTTTGATTTATTCTCTCTTTCGCCAGTTGCTTAGGTCTGCTTTCATCTGGCTCCGGGGTAAAAGATTTGTTTTCTCTTGGCAGATTTAGCAATTTATTTGCTGTGCAGCCTTCTCGGGTTTTCATTAAATAAAATAAAAAATAAAAAGAAATATACGAATATTTCAGCCCCATGTGTTCGTGTTTCATTTCGGCATAAACTGATTTAAATCAACAGCAGCAAAAATCAGCGTCAGGCGTCGACGGCTTTGCCGTTATTCACACGTGAATATTGTGACTCTAGGGCGGCGCTGTCTGTCTTCGGCCTATCTATTGGCAAGTAACTCACAAACACACACACACACACACTCGCATACACATACGCATGCGGAAGCACAATTTGCAGGCAGTGTGTGAATAATAGAAGCTGCGTGGGCAGACCTTGGCTGGCACACTGTTAAAATTTCGCATAAATTACTCCTATCAGGCTTTCAAGGGATCTGCTTGCAGGCGTAGCCCCGTGGTAATCGCATTTATTGTTTTGGACGACATCAGAGACGCCGAAGTGTGAGGCAGGGGAACTTGGCTTGGCTTGGCTGGCAGGCAGCGCACATTGAATTGAACATTTGCGTATGAGGCACAATTAGTCGCATTAAATCGGTCAATATTATATGTGATTTATGGCCAGCTCGAAATGGAAATGGCAAAAAAAAGAAGAAGAAAAAGAAAAGTGTGGCCGTGCAAACGAAAACGAAAATGAAAATGGTAATGGAAATGCAGATAAAAATAAAAATCAACATGAAAATAATGACAACGTTGTACTCGTTGCTGCCTACGTGCATGTACGCAATGAATGAGTGCGAGTGCGAATGTGAATGCGAATGCGAATGCCTGCGAGAGGCGAACAATAAAAGCAAAGTGTCTACGGCTTCCCGTTAAGCAAAAGGAAAATTGAAGCAATTTCGCTTCGCCCTCTCGCTCGATGGTATGAAATAAACAAGGGCACTGCCAATGACATACACACTCACACACACACACACACACACTTGCACGCACACACACATGTGACCACACACATAGAGGCGCACAGAGTTGTCGTTATGTCGTTAAGAATGGGAAAAATTAAGAGGCTGTAGCGGCACGCCCCTGCGTATACGTAATATGCGTAGCTCGCTAGCCGCATTGATGGAAAATGCTGAAATGCTTTACGCATCGCTGCATAACTCAGTCAGTGGATTAGAAAAGGGCGTCTTCAACAGCAAGCCTACAAGGCAGCTCCACAGCCCCACCGCCCCATCGCCTCGCAGGCAGCCAGGACATAAGGTCCTTTTTTGTTTCTGCTTGTGCTTTTGCCAGTGCCTGTGCACAGTTTTCGCGGCGCCTGATTGAAGATGATTTTGTTGAACTTGCGTTGATTTGAAAATGCACTGAAGCGTTGAATTAGACAGCCACGTCGATTGCTGGTAGCTATCAACTACAAACTACCATCAACCCAACTCGACAAACTTTATTGCCATTGCCAAAAAAAAAAAAAAAAAAAAAGAATGGCCCGCAACTGGCAAAGGCAATTGGTAAATATTTTGGCATACTTTATGTGGGGTTTGTCTTTGTGTTTGGAGTCGTCTTGGTTACTCACCATATGGTCCCAGTTGGGCGGCGACTCGCACACGTTCAATCACCACCGGCGGCTCGCTACGTCCTTTTGCGTTGACGGCGTAAACTAAAAATTGATATTCACGTCCCGGCTCTAAATTATTCAAACGAAATTGTGGACTGTTCTCCTGCATGCGGAAGATGGGTGCAGATGTAGCCTGAAACAAAGTGAATGAGCCAAAAAAAAAACAATGTAAATACATACATGTACATATATGTAGATATAAATATAAACATAAATATATGGATATGTTTATGTTAGATACGCATACATATGTCGCATTATAATATGCTGGCCATATGCCTGGGCTGAGCCAGAGTATGCTATGCGATGCTTGTTTGTTGCCAAGTTTTGGGCCACACACACCCACACACACACACACACACCAGATAAATAATTATTCATGCCTAAAAATGTGCTCAGATTGCGAGACTTGTATGGGGGCAGCAGAGCCACATTGTTCTGACCAGAGCGCTGTCTGAAATTTTAAACTGAATATCCGTTTGCCGTAATGGGACACAATCGAGTGAGCTTCGTTGGTTACGCACAAATTCCCACTCAAGTAAGCGTAAGTAATTTATGTTGTCCTTGCGGCACTTATGCATACCCATACCGAGCCACCGCACCACCGCACCACTGAGTACACAAGCTGCTGCTTCGCCTGCTGTATACCGTTTTTATCTAGCGTGAAACTTTTAAGCTGCAAACGTCCAACGTCGCTTGGTCAGACGTCCTGGTCCATGTCCTGCGCATCATCCGTTGCTCGTCTCGCTCTGCCTCAGCTCCTCGACCTGTCGTTGCTTTGCGCTTGGCTACTTTGCTAATAAACTCACTCGCCCAGCCCTTCAGCAGCATGGCAAGTCAGCTTGCCCAGTTTGCTTGCTGCCCCGCCTCTGCCGACTCTCAACTACCCCTCTGCAGGACCTCTCCGGCTGCTAACTTAAGTTGCTGAAAGCAGCCAAACGAAATGAAATGAAATTTTCATATGATATTCTCTTTTACGAGTGACAGAGATAATTTAATAACTCAGCATGTGTTCGCCGCATTGGCTTATGGATGACGTCTCCTCCATCTCGTTCGTCATCCAGCGTCCTCACAGTTGGTTAAACTGCTCACCCCGGATGGCAACCTATAGCATTAATTATGTTGTCCTTTTTACGCTTGAGCCTAGTGGCTCAACCCGTACGACCGAACCGGACCGGACCGGACCGAACCCGGCCAGCTCCACTCGCCTCGACTCAACTCAACTCATCTCAACTCAAAATCATATTCATTAATAATTCAAGCAGAAAAGTCAGAAAGGACGAGCACACTAATTGACCATATGGATTTCGAGCGAATCAACTCGCCTGCTCGCTAGCCCATCCATGACATAATTTTAATTCAATCAGTCCGGCCTCTCTCGCCGGCACGTGTTGCAAATTTGGCTTCAACTCAATTGGGGACTCACCTGATCGTTGAGCGTGGACAGCTCATTGTCGACCTGGCCATTCGTGTCGCCGAACTGGCCCTTGCCCGTCGCCGACTCGCTGGCGTATAGCAAATCCCCGCCCACCACCTCCAGCATGAAGTATTGGGTGAGTCCGCCGTCGCTGCCGGCCACACAGACCACCTCGAGGACGGTATCGTTGCGCAGTTCGCAGGCCTTTGGCGCCTCTGGTGCATCTGCAGAAGAGAGAGAGAGAGAGCAAAGAGAGAGTGTGAGAGAGCAAGAGGGAGAGAGAGTGTGAGAGTTGATGATAGACGTTGTTCATAATGAACTCGATGGCAGGATAGATTACGGTTGGCATTGGCAACAAATTTGCATTTCGCCATTTTGAGCAAATAACGGCATCATCAGGACACGCCCATACGTCCACACGCCCACAGTTTGCCTTAATAACGTACAAGCTTAATAAGAGCTGTAAGTGGAAATTGAGGCAGACCGCGCGCTCTGATGATTATTTGCTATGAGTTTTGACCGCTGTCTGGCTGCCAGACACACACACACACACACACACACACACACACACACACACACCTGCACAGCAGGTAACCAATTATGTAAGTAGATCCTTAGATGTGCATAATACATCCACTCACACACACACACACACACATGGACGCCCAGTGTCTGACAGCAACACCAATACAAACACCGGCGGCGTCTTGTTTAAATTGCACACACTGTCGGCAGGCAGCCAGACGACTATGGGCGAGTGGAGGGATGGGGGGTGTGGGGTTTGGGGTTTGGGGTGGTAGTGGGTCTGAGATGATAACAATTTCCTTTACTTACTTGCTGGCAGAATGTGAACGAGACATGGCACCGTCTGCCGGCCCACCGCATTGCTGGCCCAGCAAGCCAGTGTTATTAGCTCGGAGTCGGTTTGCGGCAGATACGTCACAGTGCTGGTCAGTCCATTCGATTGTATCCGGGAGTTCAGCACCTGAAAGCACAAGAGCATGGATTACAGCTTGACTGCAAACGTAAGCAAAATCATTGAAGCCTGCCAAGGCAGTCGAATAGTCAAGGCAGTCGAGGTAGTCCAGGCAGTCGAGGTAGTCGAGGCAGTGGAGCAGTGGAGCATTCGAGCAGTTGAGTTGGCATAAATATTTCAAGGCAAATAGGTTTTTATTGCAATGCAGTTGGATAAGTCGAATCGAGCCAAGCTGAGTTCTGTGCGGTCCAGGCGGGACTCAACTTGTGGCTCTGCTCACTGGATTTCCGTGCAGATTCTCAAATAACTTTTGATAACTAAATGAATTACTTTATTTATTGTGCACAGCTGTCCCCAAATGCTTCGCATATGCATGTCTTTCGCTCAATTTCTCGCAATCTATTCCCCCTTCTCTCCCTCTCTCTCTCTCTCGCACTCCTTCTCTCTCTATGCTTGCTGCAGTCTAGCACTCCTACTCCTATGCCCTCAGCATTCCCACTGCACAATTTATACATTTTGATTAAATTTTAATTCAGTCACGTACAAAGTTGCTCTGTCTGTCTGCCGCTTGGATTCGGGTCCTTGTGCTCTGTGCGAGTTTTCAGCTCCAGCTACCGAGTATTTAACACAAGTTTTGCTAATAGCTGCCCACCTTCTGCTGGCTCAGCCCTCCACCTGGCGAATCGATAGTTCTTAGCCGAGCTCTATGCGCACTGGGCGCCTCGCAATCACAGTCCCTAGTTTCAATTTATTTGACATGCAATTCGGGAGTTGGCCTAATGGCACTTACCGGCGACACATTGCGCGTATTGTTGTAGGTCCAGCTGAATTTGACCGACTCTGGCGGATCGGCATCCACTTCGCACTTCACCTGTATGGAGTGCATGTTAATGGCGCCAATGGACGTCTGCTCCGAGCCCGGCTTACAGCGCGGCGAGACTGCAAAAGGAAACAGAATCAAAATCATCTCATCAAATCGTGTCGCACAGAAAAGGTCGCTAAGCCGCAGAACATTTCTTGTATAATGCTGCTGCTTAGGGCTCCCTCGGATATGAGAGCAGCCGTGAAAGTAAACAGTCTCCGCCCTGCCGGAGTTTGGCCATCCGGACGCCAAAGTACACAGACAAAAATAAAACATAATAAAAAGTAAAATAAAAAAAAAAAAAAAAAAAAACATTAAGCTGAAGACTAAATCCAAGAGGAAGTCGTGCCAGCTACATAGCCTTGAGCATAGTAATTAACATGTTTCCGTTTCATGAACGTGGGTACTGACTCTCGTTGTTGTTGTCCTCTTTATGTTTAAAAGCGAGTAAATCTCAGTCTCTGTGTGTGTCTCTGTGTGTGTGTGTGTGTGGGTGTGTGTGTGTAGCAGGTATTGAGAAGATGTTGTCGAGTTTACTTTCACTTCAATGTAAAATGAGAACAGATATGCGGAAGCAGCGCTCAAGCCCTCAAGGCAACTCCGTCTGCCACACATATGTACTCCATACAAACATGGATTTCTACATGCATGAAGACGCATCATCTGTGCACTATTCACATCTGCCATATGTGTGTGTGTGTGTGTGTGTGTGTGTGTGATTGTGTGCGTGCGCTGAAAGCCATCTTTGTATGTAAGTCACGGCAAGGCTGATAAGTATTTGAGGCTTTATTACTTGCTGCTGTTATCACAAGCTGCCTGTATTTCAGCGAAATATGTTTAAAACGTCTCGCAACAGGGTCTGCGTCTGTGTACGTGTGTGTGTGTGTGTGTGTGCACAAGTACTTGTTGCTAATGTGTGTGAGTTGAGTTCAAGTTGCCCGCAACTGAAGGCGTTAAACTTTCATAATTCCAAATAAAAAAAACTACTTTAACTGTCGTATAGCTTAATAATAAAAAGCGTATTTCCGACTTGCGAGCACTGAAAAATGACTCAGTTTCCTTTGTAGATTTCCGTCAACTAAGAGGATTATGTTTGTGCGTGTGTGTGTGGCTAAAGAAGATTTATAATGCATATATATACATATATACAAGTTCCATTCAAGCAACTCTTCGTTACACGCATTTAATAATAAGAGAAATCACATAGAATGAGACTTTATCCCTCGCGAGAGGATTCCAATTGGAGTCTTTCAATTCACTCAAGTCCCACTAAAGTTGATTGAATTATTGCCATGTCAACAATATAGAACTACATTTATATTCTTCTCAAAACAGAGGACCATTCCATTTATGATAAATTCTCAATCTGTTGGCACACCTCTGAGCTGTAGCGTGTGAAAGGTGCGCCAAATGAATTCAATTTGCGTGGGATGACAGCGCTTGCTCCATTTGGCTTCATTTGGGGCAACACTTCAGAATTTCGATATACACGAAGGTCCACATTGATCAACTGATTTATACAGTTCAATCGTTTTTATATGCACTGCACATTAATCTTGCGATAAAAAATTGCAGGCAGCAGCAGAGCCAAATCCCCAAAGGCAGTGCGTGAGGTTTATGAAAAAAGTTGCCCGAGCCGTTGCGAGAGTTAAATTTATGGCCGAAACTTTTGTGTGTAAATCAATGGCGGTTATTTAGCCCGATGGCAGCAACAATTCCACAATTGTAAACAAGTACGCACGTATAGCCGACCACAGAGGGCCGATGTATTATTTCTAAGCAATTTCCTCATCCGCTGCGCAAGTTGCCAACTTACAAATATATATAGAAATTTTTGTTGTTGTGGCTATGACCACGAGCTGCAGCAAGTTGATTTTATTTTGCAACTTCCGCTTCCGTTCGACATGTTATTCCATCATATTGTTGGCAGTGTCAGTGGCTGCCATGCTCACACAGTTCCCCTATTTTTTTATCAAGCCTGGCCGCAGCAAAGCTGCTTACTTACACTGCACTTTCAGCGTGAGGCTGGAGCTGCGCGTCTCGCCCTCCGTATTCGTGGCCCCACAGGCGTAAGCGCCTGCACTCTCTCGCTCCAGGTGCGTCAGGTGCATGATTTCCGTGCTCTCGCCAGACATACGCATGCCCTGCAACAGAAGAAAAACACACACACATAATAGAGGTTAGGAATAAAGCGTCAGCAAATCTCTGAATGCAGTTTACAAAATAGGAGATCGTAATACGCAATAATAATAGAAATTAAAATATACTTACATATATATTTTGCCTTAGCTTGTATATGTATTTTTATACCCTGAACCCATTGCAAATGGGAAATCAGGGTATAATGTTTTTGTTAAAAGTATGCAACAAGCAGAAGGCAGCGTGGCAGAGCCCATAAAGTATATATATTCTTGATCAGAGCGACGAGCCGATGTATGAACGCGTGATCTTAGACGTTCTCTACAAAATCGATAACTACTCCCGATATTTTGTTATCGATTAAAGACCTTATTGAAAACTAGCTATTTAATTATATCTCCTGCAGCTTTAGAGCTACAGTCTCCAAACTTCAAATGTACACTTGTATGTACTTTATATAATTTCGATTTTTGTCAAAATTTAACCTCCACCCCCTCACCAACATATTTGCAAAAGGCGTATTTCAAATACTGGAGACTAAAGAGAGATGTTTCAGCAAATGCACACATTGTTATGATCACGATCTACAAGTTTCATGAAGATAGTCCATCGACAAGAAAAGTTATTAAACAATTAGGTTGCCATAGTAAGCTCACACTGCAGTCCATGCGTGTTTAAGCCTGCATGCCTGTGTGTGTGTTTCTTGTGTTAGCAGACAGACGCGAATAATTACTGAAATATCCATTCTTATAAGGGTTCAGGGGATTTCGTAGCCGAGCACTCTCGAATAGAGCCTTCTTACTTGGTTTTTACTTTGTACTTTAACTAACTTCGTCTAGCATTAAACATTATCGTTTGGCTGCCAATCGATATCGAATCTTGCGAGCAGTCGCATATTGAAGTGAATGTATGAATCGCAGCTAATGGAAATGCAATTGAATCCGGAAGAGACCATAGACACCGCAATGACAGCCAAATTCGATTTGATGTCATTAACAAATTCAGCGCATGTCGCGGTCTAAGCGACCGCAAAGTGCTCTCAATAATATTTCGATAACGATTGGAAATCGAATTAAATGGTATTCAAGCATCTCTATTGGCATTATCTAATGCGATGAAATGCATTATACTGTGAAAATCGATTTAAACGCGCAATTAATGCTGCTCCGCCGAGGAGGCTGCTGCCAGCAGCACAATTTACATTTGGCAATCATTTTTCCATTATTTCGGTTGGCATCAATATGCACAGTTAACTCTGTGCAAAAATATGCAAAAATTAACACTTCAATTATAATTGAAATGGCATCAAAGTGCATTGCAATATTCACGCATATCCTGTACATATATGAGTTCATATTGATGCTCAGTGATTTCACATATGATATGTGACTGCATATTAATATAGCATGGATTAATGTGTCTTACATTTATGCTTCATTTTGAAAATATGGAAATTAATCGACATCAAATTTTCTGATGCTGTGAGTTATGGAAAAATTAACATTTTAATTATAATTGAAACAACATCGAAATGCATTTTAATTTTACTGCAAATATTAATTTCATTTTATAATGGGAATTAGTTTCCACTATCCATTTATATATATCAAGCATAATATTTGTGGCTTATTTCGAATATTGGAATATTAATATTATTAAACGAATAAATAATAAATAATAAATAATAAATAATAAATAATAAATAATAAATAGTAAATAAAAAATAATAAATAATAAATAGTAAATAATAAATAAAAAATAATAAATCATAATTAATAAAATATAAATAATAAATAAACCAAAAAAAAGCAAAACTAATAAATAACAAAAAACATTTATTTTAATAAAAATTAATTAATTAATTATTCTCGATAAAAAAGTTATCAGACGAGTTATCGAAAAAATATGATAAACTTGTACTGCGTATGGAACTCACGAGTATGCATGCCAAATTTCAGCTCTCTAGCTCTTATAACTTCTGAGATCGACGCACTCATACGGACGGACGGACAGACGGACAGGGCTATATCGACTCAGCTCGTCGTGCTGATCAAGAATATATATACTTTATGGGGTCTGCGTAATTTCTTCTGCCCGTTACATACTTTTTCACAAAATCATTGTACCCTGATTTCCCATTTTCAATGGGTTCAGGGTATAGAAACAAAAGCTTAAAAATATATCTGCCAATTTCTAGTACTCAAGGTAACTTTCAGCTGATGAGCTGATGCTAATCCGAATTGTATTTTGCAATGTATTTTCAATGAGATTAAGGCCAAGTGCAACAAGCTCTGACAGCGCAACTTAAATAAGAAAATGGCTGACGAAATCTTAAAGTTAACCTGGCATTGAGGCTGCGGGTTCTCTGGAAAGGCAGCAGAAAAGCAAACTGCTGATAAAGTAAATCTAGAGACGACTGCGGATAGCAAACACAGGGGGACAGGGGACAGGGGACTAAGGACTGACAGGCGAAGAAGTGACAAAGTTTGCTTGCTTTTTGCTGCTATTTGGAAGTTTTTCTCTGTTCACATTGGGCGCATCGTTTTTCATAATTTTTGTCGATTTTGGCTTTTTGTTTTCGGCAAATGGCTGTGGAAAAAGGCAAGCCCGAAGGACGAAAGACGAAATGCCTTAAATATTAAAAAGTTTCTTTTTTTTTCCCCACAATGGGCTCGGCCACATAATTTGTTAAATGCCAAGCCGAAACACTCACTCGACAGAGCCAAACAAAATATTGTATAATAATGTGAGTGAAAAAGAAAACATAATTTAATGCTATTGTGTGTGTCGGTGTGTGTGAGCCATGAAAAATGATGATGTGCCATGTGAACAAAACAGTCAAAGGTTGTCAAAACCTTGCCCATTTAGTAATAACAACAACAACAACACAATACTGAACGGGCCGAACAGCCGAACGGCCGAACAATGCCGGTAAATCTTTGTGGCTTTTATGGCTAAATATATACGAATGCCAGCTGAGCTGAGAGAGCTCGTAGATGGGGTGCTTCGTGTGGCCAATCTTGGGCATATTTGTCGCATGATTAATGCTTAAATAATTTTCAATTCAAGCCAACTTCAATCAAAATCCATCATTAGCAATTATTTACACACACACACACACAGAGAGAGAAAGAGGGAGACTTGAGGTAATCTAACAGAAGAACGCACAGCTTGAAAACAGTTTAAGGCCTCGGATGTTGGCCACTTGGTAACCGAATAGGCCACATATTTGGCGCCTGGCATCTTGCGAATGGGAGTTGCCCGCAGCTCTCGAAACAATTTCGGTAAATTAAATGAAACCGCAAAGTGTCTGCTTAAGTTGCCGCAGGAATTTCGACAGGCCGCAAGTGGAAGGAAGGAAGAGCCTACTGTAGCAGCAATTGATAATAAAAATTGCCAAAGTGTTTGCTGCCTAATAGGCGTCAGTGGTCAGGCGGAGTCCTGCCCAGTTGGAGAGGGAGTGTGGAAGCGTAGGAGTTGAAGCAATTGATGAAAATCTGTGGCGTACTTACGTTCTTGAACCAGGAGTAGCTGGTGACAGGTGGCCTGGCATCTGCACGACATTTGAATGTGACGTTCTGGCCCTCGGCTCGGGTAACCATGCGGCTGGGGTCCTCGTTGGCCAAGTGCACCGAGACGGTGGGCGGGTCTGAAACAAAGCAATAGAGGGCAGATAAGTAAGTGCGGGCGTCAAATCGAATGAGCGCTGCAAATGGCCGGATAAAGGTCCAAATAATAAACGCAAATGGCTCATAAGGTGAGCCACCCGGCCGGGCGTAACCAGCATTGCGTAATGTAGTTAGCCCAAGCTGACGCGGCAAGCAGCATCAGCTCCTGCTGCTCCTCCGCATGGTCAGCTGCTGTCCGAGCAGCGAGCGGGGCCTATGGCCCAATGACGAGCACCTTCAGCCAGTCCAGTGTGGTGCACGGCCGCCTGGCCATAAGCCAAATGGGACTATTAGTTACGGTTGTAAAAATCTAATACGCGGCCGAGACTGGCGCCAGGGCTAGCGCTTTGCTTTGCCAGTGGTGCGTGGGGCTCTCCTTGTGCGGTGGGGGTGAAGGGAACTATGGCCTCTGAGCGCAAGACGGCAAAAATTGCTGGCATTTATGGTGAATTATTAAAAATGCGGCACGAAATTAAATCGAAATGAAGTCTGATGTCGCACCGAGAGGTTGTCGAGGCCACATTGAGTGCAGGTAATTTAATTTGCTTTTGTTGCAGGGCAGGAGTAATCTAAAGCGGAAGCCGGAAGCGGATGTTGCAAATATTATGATGGCTAGGCGAAAAATGAGCACCGGAAACATAACAGTGAAAATTTAATCAAGCCAAGTCGAAGGCTGCGCAAAGGCCAACAGCAACAGCAACTAGGAGAGGAGGAACAGCGCCAATGGCAACGACAGCCTTGATGCTGATGCCGATGATGATGATGACGATGATGATGATCAGGCATAATGACGTTAGGGCCGCCTTTGACTGCACTCCATAAGCAGCTTAACGTGCAGCAGGTACAACAGGTGAATGCCGCCAGCCTTGGGCTTAGTTTGAAAAGGAGCTGCAGCAGCTCGATGCGTCTGCAGAGATGCGAACTCTGGAGCTCTAACCAAGTTACGTTGCTCTGGCCCTAATACGCTTCTAATTGGACTTGCCGCGACGGAAAGTGCTTTAGGCTAGGCACCCAACCACACACAAACTCACACTCACACACACACGCACACTGGCAAGGAAAAGAATAGATACATGTCGGAGAGTTCGAAATTCATGCGAAGGGGTCAATGGTCAAGGGAGACGGCAGGGAACTCCAAGCAATCTCTCCGTAATCAGTATACTCACATGCCACCCGTATGATGCGCTTGTCCTCGATGGCGCCGCCGGAGAACCAGGGATTCGATGCACGGCACGTCAGCTCCGCATTGTCGTTCTCCGCTGTTACCTTCAGTGTCAGAATGCTCGTTGTTATGTTGGCATCCTGCGAAATAATTAAACGAGTATTGCTTAGCTATGGGTTTTATTACATTTTTTCATCTTTTTTTTTTCAGTGTTGAATTCAGTTGGCCAGGCAACCAAATTTGTTGGCCGAAAGCCTGAGGCTCGAGTTGCATTTCGGCACAGGCTTGGCAAATAATGAGGCGCATTTTTAGCAGCTTGTGCCGAGCTGCGTGTAGGGTTACCTCAAAGGCACAGCAGGATAATGGCAGCCGCCTGAAACTGCCATGCAGCCCCACCCACCGCACCGCCCACCCACATGAGCACATATTGTGCTCGGTTATCGAACGAATTGGTTATGCACGAGTTGCCTAATGTCAGGCGACGTTTGTCTTTCAACTGGCCCCAACCCACTCTGACACAGGCTCCTGCTCTGGCTGCTGTCTCCATCCATTAGCATGGGCATAATTAGAAAGTGGAAAAGGCATCGGCAGTGCCAAAGCCAGCAAAAGAAAGCAAGCATAACGAAGAGTAAATACTCTAGCAAAATATGATAAATTCACTTTCAAATAAAATAAGAGAAGATCGCATATAGAGAAACCACACAAAATGAACTGAAACTCTGCCCGAAAAGAGTCTCAATTATGATTCCATATCATAACTGCACGGCATAGAGGCTGACCGATAACTCGCATACCCTGCGGCGGGCAGAGTGTGCCACATGGATAACTAATGGATGCCGAAAGCCGAGCTGTCTTTGCGCAGGGCGCTCGCATGTCTTACAAACTGCTGTCCGGCTGCTGGCTGTGGTGGTTACAGTCCGGCTCTGTGGCACTGTGGGTCTGTGCGCCGCAGGCAAATGAAGTCGTGCTGCATGCGAACTGCTGCTGATAAATTTCAGCAGGATGCACAAAAATTACGATGGGCCCTTAACAAATGGCCGGCACCCATCTACATAAATTCAAATAAAAATTCGCACATTAGTCGGGCCAGCCTCCGTCCGTCCGACCGTCCGGCTTGTCGAGTGCAAATTTGTATAGCTCGCTTGAAAGTTTTTGGCAGTGCACTTAATCAAAGAGCTGCTGCAGAGTCCGGGCGGGAGCCGGGTGGCGGGGACCGGGCCAAGGGATAGCCAGCCAGGCGGACGGGCCACTTGAAGTCAACTTGTCTGCAGCTGCAAAACTTTGCCTGGCTCATGCCGCCTTTTAGGGTCACCCAGTGGTCGGCAGGAGCAGGAGCAGGAGCAGGAGCAGGAGCTGCAGTCCTGGCAGTTGCTGCTGCACTTCGGGGGTTATTAAGCGCCGCACAGTTGCTCAAAGTTAGGCGTGTGGGCGTGTTGGCGTGCGTTACTGTTGCTATCAAATGTCAAACATGAACAACAACAAAAACAAAATCGTAAAAGTTCCGCAAATACCTGTTTTGTTTTATTTCGTTGAACCAACTCAGAGCCAGTTGCACTTACCTCTTTGTCGTTGTTGAGAGTCACCTCGGCATTGCGTATGGGCTCGCCGTCCAGCAGCCAGACAATCTTGGCCGCCGGATAGGAGCCCCAGGACTCGCAGCGTATGGCAATCGGATGGCCCGCCGTAAGCAAGTCATTGGGCGTTACGATCTTGACGCGAATGGGCTTCACTGTGAATACAATTGGGGTGAGGCAGTTGATTCGAGTACAAGGAAGTTCCACTTACGGTGCACCTGGACGGTGACATCCTTGGTGACGGGCTGCAGCAGGCGTGTGCCCTGCGCTCGGCACTCAATGCGCGCCCCATAATAGTCCCGCGTCGTGGTGCCAATCAGCAGCTGGTTGACCATAACCGTGGCGCCCTCCTCCACGGACGTGTGGCTGGTGCCGATCAGCTCGTTGCCATCGCGCCACCAGGTGACCTTCGGCGGCGGTCGCCCTGCAGAGAATCAATGGCACATTATGAGTTCCGGCTACGTCAATTTGGCAGCCAGTGACAGCTATTGCCGAGTGCTGCGCCGTACTGCGCCGTGCTGCTGCGGTTGCCCAGCCGCTGTGCGGCACACATGTTCGCGTGGCTCACACACAAATTAACTGCCCGGACAGGTGAGCGGGTGACCGCAGTCAGTCTGACTGGCAGGCTGCACGTGGCTGGGCCTAGCGCGAACTTTGTTTTTTTTATTACATTTTTATTATACGAAGTGAAGCCGTGTAAAAATGTGAACAAATTCAATTCATACATAAATATATTTTCTAAGCTCACAATTTACTTGATAATCAAGCAAAGTTCCGTAGTAATTTAATCATAATATTAAAAACAACGAAAATCGAAATTATATAATACACATAAGTTTACATTTAAAATTTGGAAGTTCTAGCTCTAAAGGTGTAGGAGATATAATTAAATAACTAGCTTTCGATAAGGTTTTTCATCGATAATAAAATATCGGGAGTAGTTATCAATATATAGCCACGCCTCCTTCTGCCTGTTACATACTTTTAACAAAACCATTATACCCTGATTTCCCATTTTCAATGGGTTCAGGGTATAAACAAATGAATAATACTAATTTTTTATTATTATTTAAATCAATTTTAATATATAAAAATAAATAAATAAATAAATAAATAATAAATAAATAAAATGTTCCCTCTCTTTTTGGGTTTTTTGTGCCTCAATTTGTTTGTTTAATAAATCTTAGTTGCAACGCCTGATTAATTGAAGCCGAAGGCAAATTCATGTATAAATAAATTTAATTCATATATAAACTGTTTTCTAAGCTCACATTTTAATTGCTAATAAAGTCTGAGCAAAACTCAGTAGTAATTGATATAATTATTGAACGGTAAATTTATTTTTGCAATTATGGAAAATCAACTTCGACATGCCTGAGGTCAGGCATTGGTATGTCTCAAATTCAAATATTTTAATTAAATTTAGCTGCACATATCAAATTATTCACTTTCATATTACGCATATACATACATATGTACGTATATACATGTTTATGAGCATATTATTGTTTGTTTTTTTTTTTTTTTTTTTTATAGAAAACCTACCGCCTCTCACTTGACAGCAGAGGAACAGCTCGTAACCCTCACGAAATGGCCCAGCCAATTGAGAGATTTCCTTGCCCTGAGCATCAAAGATGCGCGGCTCCTCAGGCGGCACTGCAAAAGGAAGAGAAAGAGAGAGAGAGAGAGAGAGAGAGAGAGAGAGAGAGCGAGACTCAGTGAGCAAAACCATTCATTTCCGACTTGCTTCAGATCAATTCGACTTACCAACGAGCGTCAGATTGTGGCGAAAGTTGCGCGTGGGCGAGTTGAAGAAGTCGATGCGGCAGCGATAGACGCCGCCATCCTCGGGCTTAACGTCCTTAATCTGCAGCCGCGAATCCTTGGGATTATCGCCAATGCTGAAGAAGAGACGCTGACCCAGATCGCTAGCTATGGCCGCATGTGGCGCCAGCTTGACGTTGCCGCCCCGCGAGTCCAGACTGCAAAGCGAATGGTTAAGTGTGAATTTAGTGTGTGGGCGTGGCTGGTAGCAGGCCCCAGGCAGCAGGCAGCGCTGCTGATTATACATCATAAATAAACATATGCAAGCATCTCTTGGCCATTCGTTTGCTCTGGCGCCCAGGTTGTCCTACTGCTACCATAATTTACGGCCATAAAAAATGACGCTCAATTTGCACGTGTGTGTGTTTCGTTACTGTTGCTGCGTGCCACGTTGCGACTTTGGCAGCTTTGCGCAAATTGCAGCAATTTGTTGCTGTTTTAGCAAATTACTCTGTTTATTTCATGTACAACGCCCGGCACTCTTATGGCTGAATTGTTGCCCGGCTACAGCTACAGCTACAGCTACAGCCATAGCCAGAGCTGCAGTTCTTTATGATTATCGACTGACGGTGGCCAGTTGTGCACCTACTATACATGCCGGATAGTTGCCGTTGGGGCACGCAAGTCTCGCGCTAAGAGGCACTTGAAATGCGCGAGCCACATTGAAAATTTATCAACTGAAATTTGCAAAAGCTGGCAGTGGAAGGGCGACTGGGCGGGCGGTAGTGGGGAGCGTGTCAGATGCGTATGTGCGTGAAAATTTGCTACACTTTAGCGATGGCAACTGTAATCGGATGTGCTTTACATTTATTATAACAAAGTGGATTATGACGGCGTGGACGGGCGCATCCTTGTCACACACACACAAAATACACACATACAGACACACACACACACATGCAGACACACACACACACACGCGCGAGTACACAAAACATTTCTTCCGGTATCCTGCGCCAAAATACCGTCACACAACAACAACAACAAAACACACACCATAGCCGGAGCTCAGGCAAAACGCACAGAAAAAAGGACTGAATGGAAGCCAAAAAAAAGAAAAAAAGAAAAAGGATGTGAAAAATGCGCCAAGTGTGATGGCAGCAAAGGATGTTGACGATTACTTCACGTTTTTGATGGATGGCTGTCGCCTGCAGGATGTGCTCCTGCGTACGTGTGTGTAGATGTGTGTGTGTGTGTGTGTGTGTGTGTGTGCAGCACTTGGGCAACATATCCGCTAGTCGGCAACATCTACTCAGCGCCGGCTCAGTCGCGTTTTTTCCAGCGCTCTGTCAACTAAATAGTTTGACCAGGCTCTGGAATTGATTTGCCATGTTCGAGCACTTGCAGCAGCACTCACCTGTATAACGGTATGCCAGTGGTATCCTTGAACCAAAGTAGCAGCTTCACCGAGTCCTGCGGCGTGGGTGGCGTCAGGTCGCAAGGCAGCTCCACGGTCTTGCCGGCAGCGGCCCAAACCAGGCGTGCGGGTACTGCAATGGAAGAAAAGCCAAAGAAAAAGTTGATTTCTATTTGCTTATTTATTTATTTCGTTTTTTCTTTTTTCGTTTTTCGTTTTTCGTTTTTATATTTTCATTCAGCAAAGCATTTAAAGGCGGCCCAGGAGGCGGCAGCCAATTGAAGTTGTCAGGTAGGAAGCTGTGCGCTGGCGTTCGCGCTGATAAAAATATATTTATTTCTTATTTGCACATCCTGCATGATTCGCTTGATTGTTTGTTATTTTAACACAATGCTTCCGCTTTAGTTTGGCGCGAAGCGCGAAACGAGATGCTCAAAGCCAGCACGCGACCCAGCACGTGGGCCACGCCCAGCTACTCGTACGCCCACTACCATGGCCACGCCCATGCCCCTGTTGCGCCCATTGTCTGTTCGACGCTTCCGTTTGCCGGCTGTCCTTGTTGTTGTTGCTGTTGTTGGTTCGAGTTTGTTATTTTCTCTTTTGAAAAAACTTCGAAAAAAGCCTAAAATAATAAATAATATAAAACAAATAAAAGAATACAAATAACAGATATGAAGAGAGAAAATATTTCTCTTTCATGCTACGCTGCTTTACCTCGAATTTCAGGCCCGTGTTCCCTGTACATTCTTGCCTCTCACATTGTTTTCCCTAGCATGGCTTCTGTATTTCATAAATATTTCGCTCGACGTGGGCCCCAGAAACTTTGCGTCTTGATTAACAACAGTCCTCATCTAAAGCAGCGTTTGCGAATTTTTAAACAAATCATATTGGCCTCAACAATCAATAAACTCTTTATTTCCTTAGCACAGCTCACATCACAGTTGAGTTGCTCCAATTTAAGTGCTTAGAGCAGCAACTGCAGGGTAAACAAACAGAAAAATACTGAAAAAAAGTGCGAACAATTTTTGAAGCAATTTTTGGCAATTTTTTTCCGTTTCCATTTTTTTCCCCTGTTGTCGTGGCACTTTGATGTTCAAATGTTTTTCGACAACTTTTTGGCGAAAGTGGAGTGCAAATTTTTATCGCAGCTCCCCGCACACCTGGCGGCGCCACTGGAGAAGATTAGCAAAGCACATGCCGCAGCAACGTGCATAAATTTATGCAGTCTTGTTGAGCGAACGTATTAGGAAATTATTGAAGTAAGTCCACACACACACACACACACACACACACACACATACATGGAGCCGTGCCGGTCATGCTGGCCAAAGCGCACCGCAGCTCAGCGAACACCACAAGCCATTTGTTATATTGCGCTGCATACTTTCCGGCGCACATTCGCTGACAGCTTGAGCAAAATGGCAAACATGGCGGCAGCGCAGCTTCCGCTGCGGCATCGGCAATTTGTCAACGCTTTGGCTTGTGGCAAGCTCCGCAAATGTGCGCTGGCAAGCGGCACAAGGCAACACCTAGTCGTAAATCTATATAAATGCCTTAAGGCCTGCCAAAGCTCGCTCAGCAGGAGCTGGTGGCGGGGGGAGGCGGGCAGCAATTAGATTATATTTGCTTAGCCATTGCGGTTTTGCCTGTTGCAACATCTAATTAGACGCTTTGTGTTGCAATTGCAACAGCAATAGCTTTGAAGTTGCCCAGCAGCAGCAGCGGCGGCAACTCTAGGCTGCCCCCACTGAAAATCTATTTTTAGTTGCCCCACGGCAGCGTTTGCCCAGTTGCTGGCGGCAATCGTCTGGCCGTTTTTAATGATTTATGCATTCATTCAATTCTTTTATTGGCAGCCCAGGGGACGAGGACTTTGATGTCTGTGCCCAAAGAAGAGAAAAGACACAAGAAATAGTTTTCTCTCGAGTCTTGAGCTCTACCTGCCCGCCCCCAATCTCAGTGGCCTCAGTTCCCATAGCTCCCAGCTCACGCTTCCGTTTGATGTTCTGTTTTGACACATAGCATTATTTGCGGCTATTTTGGGCCTCATGTAAATTACTTAGCACATACGAGACCCTTCGATCAGAGATAGGGAGGGAGGAGGAGAGAGAGAGAGAGAGAGAGCGAGAGCTCTCGGGCGGGTGAGCATTTACTCAATTGAAATTTTTACGGCTTGTCAAAGTTATTTGGGCGGCTCATTATTCAGGCATCGGCGCATTTGACAGGCTCTCAACATGGATCAATTAATATCCATCGAATGTGTTGAGTGTGTTCTCCAATTCTAATTAAGGCAATATCACAGGAAATGTTAAACAAAGTCGAGAGATTAGTTCCGAAATAAAGGAAAAATTATGGGGAGGTCTATAAATAAATTACGAAGAAATGCAGCTCGTTGAAAATACTTTGTATGATGAACGATTATAAATAAACATTTTGTTGACTTTATTTCCATTCTAAAAATAGCAAGAAAAAAACATGATGCATATGCTTCGAATGAAGCTAGATAACTTTATTGATATTTATTTAAAATTAACATCAATTAGCTATGTAAACTTTACTATTTGAATTTATTTACTCAGTAAGTGATAGAATTTTTTTTTTTTTTCAATTTAGATTGGACCATAGGGTCATCGGAAAGAGTACAGATTAAATAAAAATAAATATTGTATATGAATATAAATTAAATAATGTAAATAGTCATAAGAATATAAGCAGTATAAAATAAACATACATAAAATACGAAAAAGAAAAGAAACCTTTATAATCAAATGTATTCAAAAAGCATTAAAATTTGTAAAAAAAAAAAAAAAAAAAAAAAAAAGTCTATTAACTATTAATTCCTAATTGCCTAATTATCAAACAAAAAATAAATATTTTATTTATGTACTAAAAAGTTAAATTTTATGATAAACAAAATTGTATTTTTTAGCCAAAATTCATTGCAAAACCTTAAAGTGCTAAATTCCTCATGGTTTTAATGTAGATATTACGCATACGCAGCGTGGTACTTTGCATACATTAAATGAGAGTCGTAAAAGGGCGTAGCAAACATCGTGTGCAACATTTGCGTAGCCCTCAATCTTCGACCCTCGCCCCACGCTGGCACCACGTTGCGGCACAAAAGACATTCCATAAATTATGCAGACAACAGACAACAGACACTACACAGCAGAGCAGAGCAGAGCAGCGCTTGCTGGCAGCTTCGAATTGCTTGAAATCATAATATTTGAAGGGCACAAAAAAGTGAGTAAAATAAAAAGAACAGAACTGAAATTGTTAGTTTAATTGAAAGACAAATGCTATTTTAATTAATTGCAAATATATTTTATTGGATTGCGCGCGGCTGAAGAGTTTAATGAACTCGCGATGAAATGCGAAATGCGAAAAGAGAATAAGAATTGACAATAATAGAAAATCAGCAAACGTGTCGCTAAACAAGCTCGCAACAGCAGCAGCGTGCCAAATGTAGCACGCAATGTAAACAACAATAAAAGGAACTACAACAACAACAACAACTACAACAACAATGTGCTAGAATATATGCCAAACAACAAAAAAACTTGGCAGCTTTTCAATAGCGGCCAAATATCTGTGCCTTGTTTTAGTTTTTCAATTTGATCAAATAGTTTTATTGCACAGCCCAGCACGACTAACACACACACACACACATAAGTACACATTACATACACATCAGAGCAGTCAATTGATTTGGGGTTGGATTCATTTCAAAGTTTATCCTGGCAAGGAGCACGCAATGGAGTGAGCGATCGATGTGGGTTGCGCGGTTGAGGCAAACACAGCCCCACAGTGGTTGCGCTGCGGCTTTTGTTTGCTGCGGTTGCGGTTTTGTCTTTTATGAATATGTGTGCTTGTTGCACATTAAAGATGACACGGCAAAGCAATCCGTAATATCGCCGGAAATAAATACCTTAATATAATACTAACTAATTAGTTGCCCATACCACTG